CAAAACACCCTTGCTGCGGCTGACTCCTGGGACACTGAACGACCCATTATCCAAACAACGGATAAGTTGAACATCATTCGGGACAATGGGCACTCTTGTCATACTCCAGATCCTAACTGTCCAAAGTCGGTTCTTAGGGAAGTGCTCTCGATATATCTTTTACGTGCACCGGACACAAATCACGTTTGGGAAGGGAATCACAAGCGCTTATATATAAACTTGAGCCAATCAGATTGTCCAGTTTGCAAAATAAAATTCCTATACGGACCAATCAGAAAAACACAATTGATGCAGTAAAACAAACGATCAATTCAAACAGCGCTTTCCAACACACTAACTAGAACGATGGTGACTTTCTACCGTATATGTGGATTTGGGTCCTGGTGTTGGAGTACACGAATCTCATGAGGTTAACGAGTTTAACTGGGACATGATTTACCAGTACTACGCTCCAGAGGGATTCATGATCTCCGGAATCGAATGTCACACGAAAATCTATGAAACAGACTGCTGAGGGTTGTTTAAACTTGGGGCGGTGTTCCAAGAGACGACTTGAGGTGAATATTTGGTCAATGCAGCCCATACTAGGGCGTAATTTGTTCTGGTTAGGGCGGGTGAGCCTGTCTTGTTTCAATAAAAGCTGTGCAAAACCTTGGCTACCAGGTTAAGCAAACTGGTGCTTCTCTAGATTTTGCACATTGATTTGCCCCCGTTCGTAGGGGGAAAGCGTAAATTCGATGCTGCCCAGTTTGTTGAACAAGTTTCAGTTTCCCAAATTGTATTTAGTAACGTATGGTGCGGGTTTTAAATTGCTGGAGAACTCTTTGCGGAGATTTCCGCGGGTACCCCGTCCTCACCGGGAGACCTCCGCGGCTTGAGATGGTTGATGGTATCTGAGGTGGAGATTAGATAGCTTCATATGGTGATGCTGGTGAGAAGGAAGCATAGGGAGTTTGGTTTAGAGGGCGATTGAAAATGAGACTGAAGCAAGGAGAAGATTTTCCTTCTGCTTCGGAAATGAGCTCACAGACTGGGTGACTTTTTCGTGTCCGATGCTGATCATGTAAGTCGGAACAGGGTAACCGTGTTGCTCAGGTTGGCTGCTATCTCTATTTTGGTCGTTCTTTCNTTTCACTTCAGTAGTTGCATCTATCGATTCTGGTCGATTGTATTGCTTGTCACCTGAAACTGCGACAACAGAGAATTAGGCTAGGCGTGACTATCTGGCAGCATAAGCTCATTGGATGCGTGTGGTCGGATGTCCAGTTCTTCAGGCGATGTGACCCAGTGTCTAAATCGTTTAGAGCAGCATTTTGTACTGAAAACTTCAGTTTGACCAAGGAGATTATTTAATAAATGTGCAGGTACCATACTCATCACTGTCTGGCTATAATGCAATGAGAGCATATTTAGGCGATCTGAAGGGACGGTCTTTTCCGGGCTGTTCGAAGGAGTCTAAGTTTCGCACGAACGAGCGCGTAATCAGATTCGCTTTGGTTGCCGCATTCCGCCCCGCGATGAGATCGACAGTCCTCAGTCGAGGAAACTCACCGGGAACAAATGAGAAGGTAATTTAATTGATGTACCACTTCAGAATACGGTTTTGGGGATTTTTAAACAAACAGTAACAAGCAGTTGATAATGATCGACGAAGCTGAGTAGACTAGCTACGCTGGTCCAGTCTAAACTTTTCAACAATGTGCGTTGTGGTCTGTTTTTGTGGACTAGTCTGAGCGTTCCAGTCACCAGCTATGGCATGTATATCCCTTTTGCTTGTTTCATTAACAAGTGATTGAAGGCTTTCACATGAACTTTTCTTGACATTATCGGATGGGAGAGTTGAGGCGTAGACAGAGATTAATGTAAGGTTGACTGGATGACCCTTGAATCGTGCAAATGCAATCCTAGGGAACACCGATCTCCAGGAAAGTAAAACATTATTGGCTGGATGGCTTGAAGCAAGTGCCACTCGTGTTGACCCGAGATTTCAGTGCCACTGTGATACAGCTAGTATCAACTATCAATACCATTGAGTGTGATGTTTTTGGAGCCAGAACCTGCTAACCTGAATTCAGATGGATATGTGACATTCAGCTGATAGTCATGCAGTGCGCGTATCGTTAGCACTGGACTCACGGCCTCTAAGAGTGTTCTAACGTCCGCGCATCGAATGTATCACGGTTTTCGTAGTTTTATTCGTAGTAGAGTCCAGCGCGCATACTTGTCACCTCAGGTCGCTAGAGGAGCATAGGGTGCGTCGCTCCCAGAGGACACCGTAGCATGATGAGCGAGACAAGTTAAGTGAATATCCAT